ATATGTGTGTGAACATGCACACACATGCATATGTACATGTGTATATAAAGCTGAAAAATCAACTCCAGGTCTCAAGTGCAGTTCTCAGTAAGTAATTAAAGAAGCTGAGTGCTGCTGATTCCTGTGTTTCCATATCCAGAGTTCCACCATTCCTTTCTATTTCAATCCATTTCAACCCAACAAATACTTCTGGATATTTAATATTTGTAATACACTACGCTAAGTGCAGAGAATATTAAAAAGAGGGAGCGAGAGGAAAGAAAGGGAAGAAAAATAAAACTTTCAGTCCTCATTTTTATGAATTTCATAACTTTGTAGAAGATGCAACTATGTACACCTAAATGGAAGAAAGTAGACATTTATATAAACCATTAAAGAAGAATAAATAAGTATGTGCAATGTAGAAAAGGAGGACGGCAAGTCCTAACTGTGGTGGGGAGTAGAAGCTATGAGAAGCTTTCCCTGAATAAGTGACAACTGGGTTGGTTTTAAAGGCTCAGAAGGACCTTGGCAGAGTAGATAAGGCGTTCTAGTAGAATATGCATCATGTAACAAAGGCATTAGATATAAAAGTGCCCAGCATACCTGGGATAACAGCTTCTAGTGTGATACAGCTATCTGGTGTCTATATAAAGGATATTACCTGAAAATGAACTTAGAAAGTGAGACAAGAGCCAGATCATCACAAACTTGGATGTCATTAGAAGCAGGCAGTCAGAGGTTCCTGAGAAACTGAGCATGTGTGGGAAATAAGCTCTGTCCTACAGCTTATCTCAAGTACTGAACTGCCAATTCTGTTCTCAAACACTTCAATCTGATGTCACCTACATCTGTAAATCCGCAATGTTTCTATCCTCACCCTACTCCCACTATACTGTCAGTAAATAGATTTTTTAGATAATCCTGTGTATGTCTTCAGGTTCAAAGACTTAACTCTCTGGAGCAAGAATTTACCTACTGGTGGTCTTCTTGCAGTTTAAGTATTTTCTTAAGTTTTTATGTAAATTGTCAACTGGGATTTAAATTTAAATGGACATAGGAACTACAAGAACTCCCCTCTCCCTTTGTCACTATAAACGGTCCTGTGCAATACACAGAATGGTAGGGAGCCAATGGGGGATTCACAGAAGGAAGTATACTCAGGTTAAAACACAAGAGCCACCACCATCAGTCTGACACTAGAGAAGGTCCTGTGGCCTATGAAGTTTGAGATGAGTTCAAGTTCTATTGACCCTATCTCCAAACATCCTCAATACCTAGTCTCTCATCTTCCTTCTAATTAGAACCAGACTGTTTAATCATTCAGACATTTTGTACCTGGGTTATTACATTAGTCTCCTAGCTTAGCTCTCTGTTTCAGTCTTCATACTTTGGCCAGGATGACCATCTAACACAGAGATCCCTTCACCTTCTATCCAGCTTAAAATTCTCAGTGCCTTCCTAATAGCTGTAGCACATACACTTCCAAATTTCTTTCCACATAAAACTCTTTAACAGGCAATTTAAGCATATATATTTCAAACCTTATCTCCTGCCATTTATTCACTCCACAAATATTTACTGACTACCTACATACATACAGTGAGCTATTCCAGACCTTTGGTGCGTATGAGTGAACAAATAGGCACACACGCACACACACATCACAGAAAAAGAAACCATGGGAGTTTAAATTGCACTACAGCAAAGATGGTAACAAATATAAATTATAGAGTATGTTAGAAAGTGTTATGTGTTATGAAGAAAACACAAGTGTGGAAGGAAGTCGGATGGTCAGAGTAGGCCTTATGAAAGTACAGTCTGAGAGGAGACATGAAAGAGGCAAGGAGGTGAGCCATGCAGTCATCTGGAAAGTATGTTGCAGGCAGAAAAGCATACTCAGTACAAAGGCCCAGACGGAAGTGTGCCTAGGTGCTCAGGCCTGTTAGGAGATGGAGGTGGTTAGAGCAGAGAAAAGGAAGAGGAGAGAAGGAGATGAGGATGGGGAGAAGGGGGTGGAATGGTCGGGTGATCATGTAGGATCCTGCAGACAATTGTAAGGGCTTGAATTTTTTTCTGAGTAATACAGCAAGCATTGCAAGTGACATGTGAGCAAAGGAATGGCATGCCCGGACAGATTTTAAAAGAATGGCTCTGGCCCTGGCTGTTTGGCTCAGTGGTTAGTGTCAGTGCGTGGACCAAAGAGTTTGAGGTTTGATTCCAGGCAAGGGCACATAACCTCAATCATTAGTTACGTCCCGGCCCTGGTCGGGGTCATGTGGGAGGCAACCAATCGATGTGTTTCTCTCACATCAATGTTTCTCTCTCTCCCTCTCTACCTTTTCCCCACTCTCTCCCTCCCTCCCACTCTACCTGATGATAAATAGAAAAATATCCTTGGGTGAGGATTAAAAATAATAATAATAATAATAACATAAAATAAAAATAACTGCTTTGGCCATTGTGCTGACAAGAGACTACAATGGGGCAAATGTGGCAGCAGGAACTCAGTCAGGAGGCTATCGCAGTGATCCAGGTGAGAAAAAATGGCAGATCATGTGAGTGATGAAAAATGGTCAGAATGTAGATGTGTAATATGTTAAAGGTACAGTTACTCAGATTTTTCTGACCCACTGGATGTGGGGTGTGAGAGAGGAGTCAGGCATGTGATCAAGGTTTCTGGACAAAATGGGAGGACACAGTTACAACTCAAGGAGAAAGACTGCTGGTGGGGCAGGCCTTGAGGGAAAGGCTGGCAGTTCAGTTTCTGACATGTCTGAAATGTCTATTGGACACTGAAGCAGGCTTTTGGGTATATACGTTTAGAGTTCAAAGAAAAGATCTGGGCAGAAGCTTCTGTTTGTTCTGCTTCGAACAAACCCTGCATTCCAGGCTTGCAGAACTGCACGCAGGTCTCTAATGTGCTGCCCGTCTTTGTGCCTGCGTGTCTCTCTGTAGTCTTCAAGACTTACATTAGGTACCATCCGCTTCATGAAACTCAGATGATTATCATTTCCTGAAGCACCCTGTTTTCTTAAGTCATTTAAGTAACTGAAATATGCAATGGCTGGTATTTAGCATGCTCCAAAGACTAAACAATTTTAATTTCTTTTTTGTTAAGACATAAGCAGCCAGCCCTGGCCGGTTTGGCTCAGCGGTTAGAGCGTCGGCCTGCGGTCCGGAGAGACCCGGGTTCGGTTCCCGCTAAGGGCACGTACCTTGGTTGCAGTTTGTCCCCAGCCCTGGTTGGGTCATGTGGGTGGCAACCACTCGATGTGTCGCTTTCACGTCGATGCTTCTCTCTCTCTCTCTCCCTCTCCCTCTATCTGAACAAAATATCGAAAAATGTCCTCGGGTGAGGATAAAAAAGACATAAGCAGCCATTTCATAAGCACAGGTGACTTGCCTGCTTGTTGTCAGAAATCTTTAGAAAATTAAGACTACAGAAATAATCTTGGCAAGCTGCTCATTAACCAGATTCTGTATTTTCCAATTTCAGTAGTTATTCGAAAACAAATCTTCAAAAAGACTTTACAGGCTAAAAACAGTAAAACATCTTCTGCCTAAGTTCCAGTTATTTTCTGTTAAAAAATTTTTCATTTTTGCTTTTTTTACTTGCTCTGGGGAGGCATTTAAATTAGGGGAATTATTGGACAAGAAAACCAGTCTCTTTGTTTCATTCCTAGGAGACAAACTCTAATCTAATTGAGAAAACAGGAAAAATTTAAAAGATGATGTGCAATTTAGAGACGATCCAGCTCAAGCCGACTCTTTCCTAGATGAGAACACTGAAATGCGAGAGGCTGCCGCTACCACCTCAACAAGTGTTCTCAACTACCAGCTGTGAGGCTACAATATGCCAACATGTAAGCTCCAGGAGGGCCGAGAGTTTTGTCTGTTTTGTTTCACTTGGGAAGTACTAAAACGAACAAATGTATAACTCTAAACTATATGGGGTTGAAATACATTCAATACAAAGTATAATATATTCCTTTAGGGTTAAAAAATTGCTGACTCTTTGAAAGTCATAAAGTTTAGTGTAGCAATAATTTGTAATTATCATCTTTAAATATTAATTACAAAATGGTAGCCACATACAAAAGCAGGGGAGGAAGAACCCTGAAGCTCTAGCAAAGTTATAAGTTTACAAAATGTTCTCTGCAGATCAAGAGAAAAGGATAATATTCTAGTAATATATTTGCTTTATACAGATAGTATTTTAGATAGTCACTATGGGAAGATTATAACCTTTGAAAATAAAATAGTACAAAGATATTATTATATAGATTTAGAGAATCAAGACTTATAAGGACAACTAGAAAAAAAAGTTTAAAAAGTTTGATTCTAGCCTGGCAAGTGTGGCTCAGTGGTTGAGTATCAACCCATGCACCAAGAGGTCGCTGGTTCAATTCCTGGTCAGGGCACATGCCCAGTGGGGCGCATGCAGAAGGCAGCCAATCGATATTCTCTCTCATCGATGTTTCTATCTCTCTCCCTCTCCCTTCTTCTCCCTCTAACATCAGTAAAGAAAAAAAAAAGTTTGACTAGGTTATATATTATCACAGTAGCTTAAAATACCCCAAATAAACAGCTCAGGTTCTAAAAGTTTCCTTGTGAAAGAAACCCTTACTTGGGCTTTTTAAAAACTGAGGTATAACTGACATGTAACATTATATTTCTAGGTGTTCAACATGATGATTTGATAATCATATACACTGCAAAATGATCAACACATAAGTGTAGTTAACCTTAGTCACCATACACAGTTACAAACATTTTTCTTATGATGAAATTTTTAAGATGTACTCTCTTAGCAACTTTAAAATATTCAATAAAATATTATTAACTGTGGTCACCCTGCTGTACACTATATCCCTATGAGTTGGTTTTAAAACCAAACAGCTTTTGAAGAAAACACTTTCAACAATAACCATAGTTGCAGTCAACAGGCAATCTAACTCATGTATTTCAATCCCCAAAAGAAAATATCAGGTATTATTTTAAAGTTAAAAAATACCAACCTCTTTAATCTCATGTAGTTTTCACTTGCAGCAGGTCGGCATTCAGCTCTTTGTACCACTATTCCTTCCAATGAAAGCTTATCTTGAATGGAAAGAAAAAATTTACAAATGTATTCAAAGTTAACATTTATGGTTTTCGAGATTGTATTCTGACACATTAACCACAGTAATAATGATTACAATAAAATATAGTTAATAATAAAAATTAAAAAAACAAAACGAATTATTTTTCAATTACAGTTTACATTCAATATTATTCTGTATTAGTTTCAGGTGTACAGCATAGTGGTTAGACATTTATATAATTCATGAAGTGACACGCCCAATGAGTCTAGTACCTACTTGTCCCCACACACAGTTATTACAATGTTATTGACTATGTTCCTTATGCTGTAATTTATATTTCTGTGACTATTCTGTAACCAATCTGTACTTCTTAATCCCTTCCCCTTTTTCACCATCCCCTGATCCCTTTCCCGCTGTCAATTGTCAATCTGTTCTCTGTATCTATGAGTCTGTTTCTATCTTGTTTATTTTTATCAAAACAAATATTTTTCATTTATAGTAGAATCATTGATCAAAACAAAAAAACCTTCTTGGCTAATAAAAATCTGGGCTCTTGTCAGGTTTGCTTATTGGGCTGCTGCAGCCCCTTGCCAATAGCAGCTTTTATGCACTTTCTCAAGAGGGTGGCTTAAAAGGGCATACATTGAAAAAAAAAAAGTGAATATATACATGCATGTGTACACATACATTTACATGTAAATAAAATTCTAGAAGATGCTGTGACTAGAACAACTAACCTAGAAAATACTGTTGAACTGGGCCGGCCCACTGTCGAGGTTATTCTGTGCATCAGTTCTGCCTGCCAGTGGCTGTGGCTTCTCTTTCCAATGGGATCATTAATCTGGGTGTGTCCAAACTAGAGCCTGCACTGCTATGAATAACTGTCCAAACACAAAGATAATTTTTTCTACCCTTAGAAAGAATTTTCTTGGTGACCCTGATACAAAATTCAAGAGAAACAAAAAAAGGTAACAAAAGTTAGCACCTTCTGTGTGCCTACTAGGTACCAAGTATTGTGATAAAGTCACTTAACGGACCATATCTTATTTGATAATACATATGACTAGCCCATTTCGGTATCAGCTTTATCACAGTTTGGAAATGTATGACCATGATTAGGAATAGCTATGGCTCAGTCATATTTCTGTGAGAATTCACCCACGTTTTGAGAGGAGTCAGGAAATCCTTTGGCTCATCAGCAATGCATTTATGATTCAGCTCTTCAGGGTGAATGCTTCATGCATTCCTCTAACATAAACTAAATGCCTACTATGTGACCAGCACCATCTAGGCATTGTGGAATCAAAGATAATATTATGATACCGTACTGTCTTCAGGAAGCACACAGTTTACTACGCCATAGAGATAAACTGGCCTACTGAAGAGTGCAGACATAACCATACCTACGTGATTTTTACTAAAAAAAATCTTTCATAGGGTGACCTTTCTTAATTTTGTCTTCAATATCTAGTGGACTCACCATTATAGCCCCTATATAGTAACTGTAAAGAAACCATGTAATTCAACGGTTCAAGAGTCCCTCAGTACAACATATGCAACAAATCTCAAGAACAAGCTATCAGATGACAGAAAGAGAAATGATAAGAAGCATGCCTACCTCACACCAAAATATGCCAGGAAGGAATAATAAGTCCCTAATTATTTTTTTTAAATCTAAATTTAAACATCTAAAAATAATTTCCTATCATTAATTTATTAAGATTAAAATTTCAATTTTCTTAAAACAAAAACAAATTTTATATTTAAGTTTGCTTCTCACTAAAGTTCAAAGTTCTATCTAAAAAACTATCTTTAAAAAAATGTTTATTTATTTATTTATGTTACGGATGTTTCTCCTTTTCCTCCCATTGACACTACCCCCAGCACTGTTGTCTACGTCCGTGTTTACGCATACATGTATATAAATTCTGTGGTTAATCCCCCTGAACCCCTTCTTCTGAGGTTTGTCAGTCTGTACCCTACTTCTATGTCTCTGGGTCTATTTTATTCATCAGTTTGTTTTGTTCATTATATTCCACAAATAGATCATGTGGTATTTGTCTTTCTCTGATTGGCTTGTTTTGCTTAGGATAATACTCTCCAGGTCCCACCATGTCATCTTAAAGGATAGGAGATCTTTCTTTCTTACAGCTGCATAGTATTCCATTGTGTACACACACCATAGTTTTTTTTATCTATTCATCTATTGATGAATACTTGGGCTGATTCTAACAACTATAAATAGTGCCGCTATGAACATAGGGGTACATATATTCTTCCGGATTGGTGTTTCAGGCTTCTTAGGGTATATTCCTAGAAGTGGGATCACTGGGTCAAATGGAAGTTCTATTCTTAATTTTTTGAGGTAACACCGTATTGTTTTCCATAGTGGCTGCACCAGTCTGCATTCCCACCAGCAGTGTACTACAGTCCCCCCTTCTCCACACCCTCGCCAGCACTTGTTGTTTAAAAGATTTGTTGATGGCGGCCGTTCTGGCAGGTGTGAGGTGATACCTCATAGTTGTTTTAACTTGCATCTCTCTGATGATTAGTGACATCGAGCATTTTTTCATATGTCTCTTGGCCATTTGTATGTCCTGTTTGGAGAGTAACTATTCAGGTCCTCTGCCCATAGAAAACTGTCTTAACAATAACAAAATCTGGGGAAATTTCAATGTATAAAGTATCATAAATGCTTGAGAAAAGTCCACTATTAAAACACATATGAATCTTTTCTTTTTTTTATCTTCACCAAGGACACTTTTTTGCATTTATCTTCAGATAGAGTGGGAGGGAGAGAAGAAGGAAGACAGACAGAGAGAAACATCAACGTGAGAGAGAGACACATTGAGGGGCCGCCACCCACACAACCCACAACCAGGGCTGGGGACAAACCACAACTGAGGCGCGTGCCCTTAGCGGGAACTGATTCCAGGACTCTCTGGTCTGCGGGCCAACGCTCCAACTGCTGAGCCAAGCCAGCTAGGGCCATATGAATCTTTTTTTAAAAACAAAATACACCTAGAATACTGTTCCTAAAAAAATTTTATTTATAGATCCATGTTATGTTGAATAGCAAAAGAGGTACCTAATACCACCTGTGAATGTTCCTCACTTATTCAGTAGTACTTACTCCATGTGAATAGGTTATTTAATTTTTATTCAAAGGTTTCTGCTGTCGCCCGGCTGGTGTGACTCAGTGGTTGAGCATTGACCCATGCACCAAGAAGTTGCCAGTTTGAGTCCCGGTCAGGGCATATGCCAAGGTTGTGGGCCCAATCCCTGGTGGGAGGCATGCAGGAGGCAGCCGATCGATGTTCTCTCTCATTGGTATTTCTATCTCTTCCTCTCCCCTTTCTCTCTCTCTAAAAATAAATAAATAAATGAATAAGAAATTTTAAAAAATAAATAAAGGTTTCTGCTGTCAAATTCACATTTTTCTCAAATGCACATGAGACATTATGAAAGACCCCATGTTAGGACGCAAACTCAGTCTCTTCAAGTTCAAGAAGACTGAAACCGTATCCAGCATCTTCTCTGTTCACAATGTCATAAAACTAGAAATTAATTACAATAAAAACACTCAGACTTCCGGTCAAAATGGTGGTTGTAGGTACAGGCAGTACTCGCCTCCTCCCACCACCACATCAAAATTATAACTAAACCACAGAACAATCATCCTTCAGAACCACCTGAAATCAAACTGAATGGAAGTCCTACAACTACAAAATTAAAGAAGCAACCACACTAAGACTGGTAGGAAGGGTGGAGTTGCCGACGGGTTGGTCTCACACCCATGTGTGGCGGATAAAAATCAGAAAGGATACCTCAGTTGTGAAGGTACCTTCTGACTAGTGAGGGGTCCCCATCCCCAGCTCAGGGTGCCAGAAAGAGAAGTTCCCATAACCTCTGGCTGTAAAAATCAGCAGGAATTGAGGTTGAGGGAGGCCGAGGCTCTGGAACCCCAGGCATTTCCCCTTAAAGGACCTGAGCATGGACTTACTTGGACTCGCTCCTTTTGAGCTCCAAAGTGGAGGGGAGGCAGCCTGAAAGGCACCAGAGACATACGGGAAAGAACTGAGTTGTCTGGCATCAGGGTGAGGACTGGAGAGGCAGCTTTCTCCTGGATAGCCGTGCTGGTGGAGGCTGTTGTTCCTTTGGTGAGTCCTTTCCCCATGAGGCTGGCAGATAGGCACCATATCTGGGACTCAGCAACCTGGCTCACACTGTTTGCCCCATCCTGGTGATTCCATGTCGAAGAACCACCACCCAACCACCTCCACAAGTGACACACCCAAGAAATGGACTCAGCGGGTACCAGAGCCCTGCTGAAGTAAGTCATGCTCTGTGTGGTGGGCCCCTGCAGAGCTGATCATCCAAGGTAGTCACAGGTCAGTGGTTAGTGGGCACAGGTTAATCTGAGCAAAACGCTCCCATTGACGTGCCAACAGCAATCAAGACTCAATTACAAAAGGGTTTTACAGAAGGGTTTAAAGTCCACATGAAGGGTGCACTTCGAGAGCCCAGCTGGGTGACCAGGGAGGTTGTGCCACTGGACCCTATAGGACATTTACTACAATAAGCCACCCTAGGAAGCCTAGAAGACATAGTAACCCTACCTAACACATAGAAACAAACACAGGGAGGCAGCCAAAATGAGGAGACAGATAAACATGTCCCAAATGAAAGAACAAGACAAAACTCCAGGAAAAGAACTAAATGAAATGGAGATAAGCAAGCTAACAGACACAGAGTTCAAAACACTGCTTATAAGGATGCTCAATGAACTTAGAATTTCAAGGAACTTGTGAGAACATCAAGAAACTTAATGAGGACCTCAGACACATAATAAGAAATGAAGGATGCACTAACTGAAATAAAGAATAATTTACAGGGAATCAATAGTAGAGCAGGTGAAGCCAAGAAGCAAACCACTGATTTGGACTATAAGGAAGTAAAAACACCCAATCAGAACAGCAAAAAGAAAAAAGAATCCGAAAAAATGAGGACAGTATA